GGGGCTGGGCAGGGAGCCGCCCGGGGCTGGGGCAGGGAGCCGCCTGGGGCTGGGCAGGGGGCGCCGCTGCCTCTGGATCAGGCCTCCCCGGGGACAGGCCCCCGCTAGCAGGGCCGCCTGTGATGGGACCGGCATGGCCTTCAGAGAGGCGTCTGGTGGGGACCTCACCTCAGTCTCCTTCCAGCAATGACGGGGCAGGACACTGGATGTCACCCGTTGCCAAGCACCGTGCCTGTGACGTCACACGGGAACACGTGACAGGGATGGCGCATGCGCACAGCACGGGGCGTCAGTTGGAGGTGCTGAGGACAAAGGCCGTGGCCCCGCGACCGTCCGCAGGCGGACTTTCTAATGTCTGGGGACTTCCGGTGTCTGCCACCAGATGACATCGCATGTGGGGACTGCTGGGGACTGCAGGGTCCGGATCGGCCAGAGCCGGTCCAGCCTTGGCGCGGGCTGTGCAGGCTCCTCGGGATCTGGAGCAGGAGCAGGGACCTGGCCTGGGCACCCAGGGACTGCGTGGGACCGTCCCTGCCTCCAGGGTCACGGCCTGCTCGAAGCCGAGCTCGGGAGCAACTAGACAAAGTCGGGGTCCTCAGAGGACCACCGCGGACACCCAAGTCCCCACCCCAGCGTCCCTGCTCCCCTGGACTGAGGCGCCTTCTCCAGGGCCGCCCTGACCAGTGGGGCTGAGGAGCTGCCCCATCAGGATGCGGTGCCCTGACCCGGCTGGAGGTCGCACCCTGGTGTCCCTTCCTGGCAGGCAGGCTCTCTGCACTTCTCTTCTCACATGTGGTTAAGGAACACTTAGGCCTCAGTTCGTTGGGTGACACAGATGGCGGTAGCCCAGCTTGGCTTTGGATCCAGGTTCTGTGACTCCAGAGCTCTCCCTTTGGTCTCTGTTGCCTCCTTACTACACGTGCATCGTGTATTTCTTATTTTTTTCTGTAGCCCATAGGGTACTTAGCAGCATGGCGTATCCATAATGAGCACATGCACCGCCCAGGAGGACGACGTCTTCAGTTCAGTTCCTCAGTTGACCATGGCCCTCACTGCATTGCAGTCTTTTCTGAAGATGGATGGCAGGGACCACCAATTGTCAGCAGAGCATCACTCCATTTTCTCTTCCAAGTGAGCCTTGAGGACCAGATTTTCTTTGGGTCTAGTTTGAAGGGTCCGAATGCATAAAAAATTTATTCTAAATCAATTTTAGCCTATCCCTAAAGAAATTCATCAGTGTATTTTTCCATAGGGATAAGATGCCAGTCTCTCTGACCTTCCTGGAATATGTTTACAAAGCAAATATATCATTTATTTGCAAACTAATAGTGAGGCAAGTATTGGATTAAAGTTAAGATCAACACGATTTGGTCATCATGAGCATGCCAGCTGGGTTCGCTCTTCACTACATATGCCTGGAATGTAACTCTAGACATTCGTATGCTCCAGGCAGAGACATCCTCTTTGGTCAGGACAAGTGAAACACGTATTATTGTCCTTGAAGCTACAAGCTTCAGCATGGCGAGAAAGACATGAAAAATCCTACACATTGCTTTATGTGGGTTGAATTTTCTTTCTTTGGCTTGCTTCACTGGTGTGTTTTTCTCTCTTCTGGGGCTGTTCTTGTGTATCAGGCATATGACATGCAGGAGTTTCAGAACCAAGAATAATAGAGATCAGTGAAAATATTTGTTGAAAAATTTTTAATTAAAAATTCTATTTGAAATAACACTGGACATTATTCATATATTACCAAATATTTTTAGCCCTATGCACCTAAGATTCCTTTCATACTAGTCATCACAAATTTGGACTTTCATCCTCAGCAAACTTGGAGGCTGGAAGGACACAAAATGTTTTGCTGAGACTCAAACTCGGTTTGAAAATAGGAGAAATATTATAAACTCTTCTAACCAATCCAGGAGTAGAAATGATTTACAGTTACAACACTTGTCCCCCCATGATTTTTTGACATCATTTGAGGAGAGTTCAAAATGAAAAAAAAAAAAAAAACCTTTTGTTTTATTAATCTCCGATGAGCAGGACACAGGATGAGAAAACTATTTAAGTAAAAACACATTCCATTTTTTATGAAAAAGGAAGGATGACTGAAAAGGCAGAGTCATGAAGAACCACTCAAGAGTTCAAAATGAAAAAAAAAAAAAAAATCACTTGATTTTGTTTGCTTGTTTGAACAGAAGTAACAAGATGGTACAAATTTTGGACAAATAATTTCCTATAGTAACTCTGGAAAAGAGTTACTAATGAGATGTCAGACTTATTTGAAAACAGTAGATTAAATTCATGTTATCATTTTTCCCCCAAGAGGAAAAATTCATTTAACATATGATGAATGTTGAGACTTCAGGACAATAAGTGGTAACTTGGACAAAGGAAACCCAGAAAAAAATTCACCATTTGACTTTTCTTGCCAAGTGAGAATAGATGGACAATATGCTTTGCTGAGATATAAAATATTAGCTTACTTTTCCTTGTAAGGCAAAATAAAATTAGATGGCAAGGGGTAATTCTGAAATAATTTGGCTTGGTGGAAGCAAACACACTGGCATATAATTTGTCGTGACAACATATTTTGCAAATAATTTAATAATTAATAGAATTATTTTTGGAATAAAAGCAATTTATAGCTGCCATGTGAGATTACCTTGAATTTGACAATATTTTTTAATTTTGATTTTTTTTATTAGCATACTCCTTATTACAAATCATAATTTTTCCTTATGCCCTTTACCCAACCTGTCACTCCCCAAACCTCCTCTCTTCCTCCCCCCATCCTTAGTATCCTTAGGTTTGTTCTCTCCTTCTGAAAGTTCAATGTATTGTTGTCTTTCTTTCCTTTCTTCTTTCATACCATCCAGTTATGAGTGAGAACATGTGGTATTTCCCTTTCCTTGTGTGGCTTATTTCACTTAGTATAATTTTCTCCAGACTCATCCATGTTTCTCCAAAAGGCAGAATTTCATTCTTTTTTATGGCTGAGTAGTATTCCATTGTATATATATACCACAATTTCTTCATACGGTCATCCATCAATGGACACTTAGGTGGGTTCCATATTTTGGCTATTGTAAATAGAGCTGTGATGAACATGAGCATGTAGATATCCCTTTGACATGATGATTTCCATTCCTTTGGACATATACTCAGTAGTGGGATTGCTGGATCATTTGGTAATTCTATCTGTATTTGTTTGAGGAAGCTCCATACTGTTTTCAATAATGGTTGTGCTAGTTTACAGTCTCACCAACAGTGTAAAAGGTTTCCCCTTTCCCTGCATCCTTACCAGCATTTGTTATTCTTGGTCATTTTAATAATGGCCAAGTGAGATGATATCTCAATGTGGTTTTGATTTGCATTTCTCTGATGATTATGATGCTGAGCATTTTTTCATGTACCCATTGGCCATTTGTATGTCTTCCTTTGGAAAATGTCTATCTCCTTTGACCATTTTTTAATTATTTGGTTTTTATTCCATAGTTGTTTGAGCTCTTTATATATTCTGGATATTAATCCCTTGTTGTATGTACAGTTTGCAAATATTTTATCCCATTTCATAGGTTGTCTTTCTGCTCTGCTAATTGTTTTCTTCACAGTGCAGCAGCTTTTTAGTTTGATATAATCCCATTTGTTTATTTTTTCTTTTGTTGCTTGTGCTTTTGGGGTCCTATTCATAAAGTCTTTGCCCAGTCCTATTTCCTGGAGTGTTTCCCATGTTTTCCTTTAGCAAATTTATGGTTTGGGGTCTTATATTTAGGTCTTTAATCCATTTTGAGCTGATTTTGATATATGGTGATAGACACAGGTCCAGTTTCATTCTTCTGCATATAAATATCCAATTTCCTGGCATCATTTATTGAAGAAGCAGTCTTTTCCCCAATGCATGTTTTTTTTTTTTTTTTTTTTTTTTGCCTTTGTCAAAGATCAGTTGGTAGTAAGTATGTGGTTTGATTCCTGGGTTTTCTAGTGTGTTCCATTGATCCAAGTGTCTGTTTTTATGACAGTGCCATGCTGTTTTGGTTACAATAGCTTTGTAATATAATTCAAAGTCAGGTAGTGTTATGCCTCCAGGTTTATATTTTTTGTTTAGGATTGCTTTGGCTATTCAGGGTCTTTTGACAAACAAACCTCTAAGTGGTCACATATAATGACAAAACTGCTATAATTCAAGTTCTGTTTCTTCACCTTTACAATCACTCTACTAACATTGTTTATTTTGAATCTATTTAGGCAAAAGAATATATAATACCACAGAGCTTTCAGACATGGACTATACCCAAACCAAGTTCAAATGATTCAGAACCATAAGGATCTTAATCCAGAAACCAATTCCTGTAGTCAAGACCATGTGTATTAGAAGTTGAGAGTTTTTCAAATCAACTTCTGTGCAAAATACAATGCTTATTCAAGTATAAGTAATAAAAATGTGCTAATCTGAAGCTTACATATATATTATTAAAACCCGAGAGGAATTGCAACAATGGTTTTGAACTCAGTCTAACAAAAGCTTTTTGGTGGGGCCGGCCCGGTGGCGCACTCGGTAGAGTGCGGTGCTCCCACCGAGGGTTCGGATCCCATATAGAGACCGGTCCGCTCACTGGTTGAGCGTGGTGCGGGCGCGACACTGAGGGTTGCGATCCCATTACCAGTCACGAAAAAAGACAAAACGGGGGGGAAAAAAAAAAAGCTTTTTGGTGAAGGAATATTTTTTTCACTGACATTATTTAGAATTGCTGGCACATAATGATAATAAAAACAGACCTACTATTTCTTGTTTTTATTATTATTTCTAAATCATCATAACACAATGCACCCCCTGTTGCTTGCACTGAGGGTGAGTCCTTGCTGCCCACCCTTGAAACTTCCTTGGAGTACGGAAGTCCACTTTTTAAACCTGGGAAAAGCAGAGCTTCTCTGACTAAAATTTGGGCAGATGTCTCTACACAACTTCTTCCCTGCATAGACGCAGGCAGTGAGGGAAATCAGGAGCTACTAAGGACTCTGAAATTCACAAATCAAAGTTAAATCTACCTAAAATCTCCTCATTAGCATATATTGATAGTGGTAGGAAAAGGAGACTTAACAGGTACCTCACTAAAAGCTGCCCTGTGGAAAAATTTCTAAAGTATCAATAATTTAAAAACATCTATCGAGTATGCTATAAGACTGAAATATCTTTCTGTTCTCTCGATCTTTCTATTCTCTTATATGTATATAAACATAAAAATTCATTTTACAACATTATTGAAACTTGAAAAGTCATTCAGAGTCTGCAGTCCAAAATGAAGGCTAAAATGTATCTTAAAGGTTTGAGTCAGGCAGTTAACTAATAAAAAAATTGTTTTTTCCTGGGCTTTGTGATGTTTCCAGTATTTGTCACTTTTTAAAAAATTGTCATTTTAAAATCAGTATTAATTTACATATCTAATTTTCTTAGAGCATGTATCAGTTTGTTGATATCCCTCTAAAGTTGCAGCACCCCAAACTATGCATGTGGCCCCAGTTGCTCTGTTTAATACTCACTCATTAAAACACTCAATATTTTCCTTCCCTTAGGCTGATTCTGATAATCACCTCACACCATCTTCTCTGCATCCAACTAAAAAAGTGGTCAGAGACTTAATTAGAAACAATGAGAGGCAAGCTACAGATATGTAAAACCATATCATTCATCAAGGAAGGTTTTTAAAAAGCCATCAGTAGTCTCAATTCCAGTGTTAGAATTATTTGATAAAATCAGTGACAGAATAACATTTAAAGCAAGCTGGAAAAAAATTAGGAATGAACCAGTGTTTACTAAAATATACCACAAGTCTCTCAATTTTAGCACCTTCAGGTATCAGAATCAGAGCTGGCCTACTTGAAAATTACAAATGATTATTAACACCCTAAGAC